CAAGGCACACACCAAGTGCCGCAACTGCGGGGGTCCACACAGATCAGATAGTCGAGACTATCTAGCTCGCCCTACAAAGTCTGGGACGGCCTCCAAGGAAAACCTACAGACCATCAGGCAGGCTAGCTAACGCGAATTCGCGGTAGTCAGTCGGGCCAAAGCAGCTGTCAGACGTGCAGAGGCAGAAGCGTCAAATACTAACCAGCCAGGTTTTAAATCGAGCAACTATTTTGAAGCTCTCATGTCCGATGCTACAGCAATTGTAGCCGAGGTCGATGAGACATCAAATCAGCAAATATCTTTGTGAAGGGCATCCCATGGGTCTCTTCAAGCCTCTCTCCTACTCTAAACTTTATGTCAATAAACGTAGGTAGAGGAGGCTCAACGCAAAACATTGCACTTGCCCGAGCATTTGAGCTAGGTATCGACGTGGTTCTTGTTCAAGAACCTCTATGGAACAAACAAAAGAACACAACAAAGGATCACCCAGGATATACCTATCATCTGCCTAACGGCGGCGAAAATGTTAGGCCGAGGGCTGTGATCTATACCCGGCTAGACGATAAAAAGATAATGGCAACACAGCTCTTTCCTTATGTTGTGTCTACAGAAGACTATTGCTGGGTTGAAGTGAACGGCATTACTTTTCTCAACGTCTATAAGGCACCCAATGACTCGACAGCTATCCAGCCTCTCATCAACTGGATTCCACCGCCAAAGTCCGTCGCTGCAGGGGACTTTAACTCGGTATATTGGGCTTGGCAACCTGACGTGGAACGTCCTTATGGACAAGGAGAAATGATCGAAAAATGGGCAGACAAACACCATTTGACCTGTCATATTACTGGGGAGCCCACTCACCGAGCTGGGAACATGCTAGATCTAGTTTGGAGTAATATTGACGGCGCCTGTGCTTGAGTAGATCGTGATGAATGTGTCACCATCAATCATTTCCCTATCCGAGGACAAATTCCAGTTCGCAACTCAGTGATGAGACCCGAAAAGGCAAAACTCCGAGTGACAAAGGAAAGCTACCCAGATACGCCAAGGTCATTGTACAGTGGGCTCGACCACCACCAGTTCTTGGCACAATCGAGAGGGTTGAAGAGTATGCCGAGGAAATTTGTTTCCATCTCACTAATGCAATCAATGCAGTAGGAACACGACCAAAAGCCCGCTGCGGCAGATCTGCTCCGTGGTGGACCCCAGAGTGTAAAGCAGCATTTTCCGAGTACAAAAGCGCGATAAATTCCAGCCAACGGGCACTCTACGCGAAAAAGCTCCGATCAGTTGTGAAGACCTCGAAAAAGGAGTTCAAAACCCAACAGGTCGAATCAATTACTACGCCGACTGATGTATTCAAGCTAATGAGAATGAATAACTCCAGACAGGCTAGTATCCCTCCGCCACTGAACCATAATGGGACGTTGATAACAGATCCATTAAAACGGGCCACTATCCTTCGCGACTCCCTCCTGGCACGATTTCAGGCATCAGACGACTTGTCGCCGTGCACAGTCGCGAGCAGCAGTCGGATACCATAGGAAGAGGACATAACAGATAAAGAAGTCCGAGCCTGTGCCATTGGTTGCGGAAATACGGCCCCAGGAGCAGACGGAGTCTCCGTAAACCTGCTGGAGGCGTATTGGAGTACAATCGGGCCTTTGGTTTCCCAACTGTTCCAAGCTTGCATTCTGCTTGGCACCCATCCACAGTGCTTCAAATTAGCTGAGGTGGTCCTCCTTCAAAAGAACGATAGAGACCCAACGACAATCAAAGGTTGGAGACCAATTGCTCTTCTCTCATGCTTGGGAAAAGGGTTAGAAAGGCTCTTAGCTAAGCGGACGGCACACCTTGCAGTTATCCATGATGTAGTCGGCCAGCAACAGTTTGGTGCACTGCCGAGGCGCTCAGCAACAGATCTGGTCTCATGTGTGGTCCGCGACATCGAAGAGGCAAATTCACAAAGATGGGCAGCTACTTTTGTAACGTTGGACGTTCAAGGAGCATTCGACGTGGTACTCCATAACCGATTAGTGAGGAGGATTCAGGATCAGGGATGGCCGGAGTCTATTCTCAAATGGACTAGCTCCTTCCTCGCCAATCGGATGGTTCAAGTGCGATACTCTGGGGGAGTCACTACCAAGAGAGAGCTAGTGTGCGGAGTTCCACAGGGCTCACCGATCTCGCCACTTCTCTTCCTTCTATATATGGTAGAGTCCATGCGAGCTGGAACTCAAGGTCTGAGGTTTAGCTACACCGACGATATCGGTATCCTTGGATTTGGCCGGACGATTGCAGAGTCTGCAGTCGCAGCACAGGACGAGGTCAATAACCTACTAGACTGGGCTCGAAATAATGCTGTCGCTTTCGATACAGATAAGTCCGAAGTCGTACAATTCCCCGGACGATACTGCGAAACATCGGTTGGAATTTATGTCAACAAAAGCCTCATAGAACCGTCGCAAAATGTCCGCTGGCTTGGTGTGTACCTGGATCCTCGACTAAACTTCAAACACCACGTCACAACTTGGTGTGGCAAAGCGTTGAAAATTGCACAGCACATGCGTCGCTTCAATACAGCCTACCGAGGAGCCGCTCCTGGGGCGTTGGTTAAAGCAATTGACACATGTATTGTCCCAATTGCAACGTACGGAGCTGACGTCTGGTGGCCTGGCCTCAGACGTCCAACAGTACGAGGGATAGTCACACCGCCCACTGCTGGCCTATGCAGTATGATTGATAAAGCTGTCTTAATGGGTCTTTGATCAGCACTACCGGTAATGAGGACAGCCCCCAACGCCCTACTACATAGAGAAGGAAGAATTCCAACCGGGAAAATCATACTCGAAGGAAACCAACTTCGCCTCTCTGCCAGGATGCAAACACTTGACGAACACCATCCGCTTAGGATCCGTGCTGCAGTTTGCCCAAATGTCGGTACGCGGAAATATAAGAAGCAGAATCGAGTTCTGCGTGTCCTGAAATTCAAATGTCACGGGCTCAGCGTAATTATAGACAGCTACCAGAAGCAGAGGCCGCGGAACCCCTTGCCCCACCATTCTATCAATCGCAGCCGGGTTCGAAGATTGGTTCGAGAAAAGACCAAGTAGAAGCCTGTAAACTTTGGATCACTAATGTGCCAAAGTCAGAAATCTGTGCTTACTCGGACTGAGCATCGGAGGGAAAGGGACGCTCAGCTTGGGGGTTCGAATTAAAGCTGGATGAGAAAACTTTTCAAAAAGGAAGTGGCATAAAGCACGGTGGAGAGGCTTTAGATGCAGAGATTACGGGGGCACAGGAAGCACTTAAAGCAGTGTTGGGTCACCTAAGAGGGAAGGAGTACCTGGCGAAGGGAAGGACGCAGTGTATTAATGTGTTGATAGACAGTCGACATGCGATAAATGCACTGAGCACGGGCAGGTCCTCGACCAGCCACGAGGAAGTACGAAAGTTTCGCGAATTATCTGGGCTAGCTCAGGTAAGAATAAAGTGGGTACCAGGACACTCGGGACTACATGGAAATGAGGAAGCAGACGTAGCGGCCAAATCCGCCCTACGAACGCTTCCCAGTGTGTGAACTGAGCCAGCAACCACCACGACAGCATTTTTACACCAAAAATTGCATCGACAGCGACAGACTTTGCTCGACAGCTGGTGGAATGAAACTTGCCCGTCACGGTATCGTGAGCTAGATCTGCTCATGCGCCGTCGCAAATCACCAGAACTGGGGCTTTCCAGGCTACAGTTACGACATCTCATTGCAGCCCATACGGGCCACGGCAATTTCGCGGCGTACCATCGTCGCTTCAACAATCCACACGCTATCACTGAGTGCATCTGTGGGGAGGAAACCACCCCTATCCACTTCATACATTGTCGACTCAATGCAAACATCACGCGTCGAATCAGAGGGTCAATGTCACACATTGCCTTCTTACACAAGCTACTCGGGCCTAAGTGCTTCGAGAGCTTCAAACAATTTGCGCAGGATACCAATAGTCTTGGGTATTCTCCTGTGCATCCGTCTCCTACTCTCAGTGGAGATCGAATATAACTCGTCAGGAGACTAAAGCTGACAAAATGGGAATCGAGGCGAGGAGTATTGCTTCCAATTCTAACTTATTTGCAATTTTTATTTTTCTTTTGTCGGTTTTTGGGAGGAGTTCGCGACGGCGCATATTTTTAACTGACTGCTGGTTCTGTGGTAGTTCATACGGTGGAATCAAGCTGTGTATGTCTTCGATGTAGTTCTGGCTGTGAACACCGGTCCTGTACTCTTAGTGTATTTGGAGCTTTAGCTTAGGACTTTAATAAAACAACAACAACGTGAGATAGGCTACGATCTGTGGACAGGCACGACGTTAGATTTTATCGAATCACACCAACAAATCAGGGACTGAATGAACTAAGGATGAAGTACAAATAGGTATTCTTCGTAGTACATTTACTTCTCTCTATACATGGATAAAATGTACTCAATGGATATTGTAGCCAGTATGTTTTCGTCACGGAAAGTGTATCAGCCAAGAGCAGACCTAGTGGTCTTTGGCAGATCATCTACATATATTAAGTCCTAATCTATCCGTACCACCAAATACAATATACACTTGGATACTCTCCAAAGACATTTTGCGCACTGACTTTGCATAAATTAGACACCAAATTCGATAATTTTGACTTGTTCAGCTCAGAAAGTGAGTCCACCCTTTTGATAGAGAACAAAATATGTTCTCCAATTTCTGACCCCAAAACATGGAAATCAGAAATATGATCGACCAAGGCGATGGCTGAAGAGCCTGCTTGTCACGAGGGACTATGTGATTCCATTTTTAGATTACCAGAGTTATCAATCTTCTCTAATGTTAGTCATTGTACAGAATTATATTTTAAAAAGGCTTGTACAGGATTAAAAGAAGATTTACATTCTCATCATGTACAAATTTAACTACAATCTGTTGGAGCAGTATAGACAAAATGATCTTGCGCACATGTAGTATCTATCGTCTCTCAATCAGCATAAAATGCATAGCCATGAAGGCTAGTATTATGAACGACGCAGCGAACAAGCCTAATTTGAATACATCAGACCATAGAGCCTGTGTGTTAAAACCAAATGAACTAAGTATTACAGCTCCTGGCACAGTAATATCAAGGCCATACTTGTGGTCAGTCAGCGTTAGATATGTAACTTCATTCACAATAAGTGATTCAAACCCGTAGTGAAAAATCGATAACGATTGAAGCCATAATGCTGACTTTGGGATAGCGTCATGGTTGAGAAGTAAGCCGGCAAAAAGTAGACTGAATAACATGACTAAACTCCCTACCAGATTCGCAACTCCACTATCTTTGCATGTGATTCCTATAAATAAACAGATCCCGCATGCTGCGAGGTTGAAGAGCACGAGAACAAGAAGGAATTTGAAGAAGTGGTTGGCATCGGGAACCAGCCCAGTCATTGGATACACAATGGATCCCATGATTATAGGTGGGATGATACGAAGAGGAATTAAGTCGAACAACACTTTTGCCGCAAAGTAAGTCACCGGTGAGTAATACCCATTAGCTCTTTCGCGGATGAATATAATCCGTTCTGTCGAGAAGACGTTCAAGCTTGATAAAGTACTAAACCCAAAGAGTGCCAAAATAAAAAAAAATAGTCCTAGCCGATTTTGAAAGCCAGGAATATCATCGGTTAATCCGTAGAATAGAAATCCGGAGAGGACTGCTAATAAAATTGCTATCGCATAGTGCATAAGCATAAGCATTGGGTTCCGGTAGAGGTTCTTCCATGTTCTTTCGGATAAGATAATGAATTGACGTATGTATCCAATTCTAGCATAGCCTCTCCCTAGGGCACCTACGTTAATTGTTTCATTTCCTAGCCTAGAGTTATGAGATGATACATCGGCTGCATCATTTAAATTTCGGGCATTTGAAATAGAAGTTTCTATCTCATGATCAATATCTTTAGAAATTTCAGACTCCTCGAATGCCGAGATAAGACTCTCAAATTCGGTCTTGTCAAAAGAAGATGCTAGTAGAGGCTCCAGGTCTTCAAGAGCAGAATGGTTTTGAGGGTTAGGATTCTGCCTAGAGAGCCGAATTGGTTGAGTTTCCAAATTCTCTTCTATCTGCATTGAGAGTCCGGGTTTCCTACGACCGAATAGCTCTCTCTCTTGTCTTAACTTTACGGTATCTTTCTGTTTTCCTTGAGATCTAAGAGATGTATCGCCCAAACTTCCTATGAAGCTTTCATTAATAGATGTACCAGAGACGCTCGCTATGGATTTAATAGCCTTTGTGCTGCTTGGAGTCGGGCTAGAAATAGCCTCGGGCTCAATTTCTGTAGCCATAGACTGCGGAAAAGGCGACTGTTTAGTTATATGCATAGTCAGGTCAACCAAATAATCAGCGATATTGAACCCAGGTGGACAAGAAAAGCCTAAGTCATCAAAAAATTGCTGGCAGCGACTAAATTCTCCAGAGTATACAGTTTTTCCTTTTGCAAGGAGAAGTAACCTATCAAAGAGAGCCACTATATTCGATCTCGGCTGATGAATGGTGAATATTACTGTCCTTTTGTAAGTTTTGGCCAGCGTTACGAGGCATTCTACAACATTGAATGCATTGTAAGCGTCAAGTCCGCTAGTAGGTTCGTCAAGGAAAAGAATACTGGGACTTGTAACGAGTTCACAAGCAATCCCGACTCTTCTTTTTTCGCCGCCAGATATTCCCCGACCTTTGCCCTCTTCGGATCCAATTAAAGTATCTCGAATAGAAAATATGCCAAGCTGCTTTTCAACTTCAAAGACACGTTGTTCTTTCGCTGAAATTCCCATGTCCCGTGGTAGGCGGAGAAGAGCACTATTCATAATTGTTTCATGAACTGTCAGAGTTGAGAGCATGGCATCCTCTTGGTCTACAAAACCTGTGAAACTTTGATAATCTGAATCATTGACCTTCTCGCCATTCACATAAAAATTCCCTTCAACAATCCCCCTCTTATTTTTTCGCGCAATGATATCCAGAAAAGTCGTCTTACCGGCACCAGATGCACCCATAACAGCAAGAATCTCGCCTGGATGAGCTATGCCCTTTATTCCTGTGAGAATACGTTTGCCGCCTAGCTTGTAAGACACGTTGTCAAAGTAAAGCGAGGCAGGTTTGTGGTCAACCATAAGTTTGGAGTTTTCGTCATCCGATTCGTCCAAGTATATATGCCCATATGCCATTTTAGATCGTGCAAGATACCATACAACAATGACCACAGACATGAGAAATAAGGAGCATGTGGCAATAACACCAGCTATCAGAGGCGTGTTTATCTTTTTGACAGGTCTTTCGTAGCCGGGAACGTCTGTTTTGTAGAGACACTCGCCAGATTGGCAATCAATATGTATACTATCGTCACCAAACATTGTCTGAATCAAGCCATTCATTTCTGGCTCTTTGAACATGCACTGACTTGTCTGGCCTCGTGCTTGCTGACAAGAAAAGGTTGCAGGCCCTCTGATGAGGTTAGTTAAGAAATCTGAAATATCGACTGAGCCGTTCTCTCCACATAACATTTGACCAGGTATACAGCTACATCTGACTTTATCACATTCATAACTTGTACTGTTTTGTAGATAGCTATTATCCGCTTTAGAGGTGCAATTTTCCAATCCACAATAGAAAGATTCTTTGTGTTCAACCCAAAACTGGAAGTCGCATGTTTTATCGTCTTTGTTGCAGGTAAAGGTAACTTGAGGTCTTCTTCCGTTTAAAATTTCGACGATTTTTGAGTTGGTAACGTCACACATTTGAAAATTCTCGTGTACAACTTCCCCGTTTTGATAGCATACTCCACCCTCTTTGGTAGGCATCAATGCATCACAAGCTTTATCATCTTTGCAGACATTACAGTTTATACCTGTCCATCCGTCATCACATTCACAGTAATCTCCTTGTCGCATTGGCCTATCTGTTCCCCTTGCCAAAGAGCCACACACTGAGTTAGAGTTAGGACGTAGCTTTCAGTTAAATTCGATATGGACGTATCACACCTGGTGAAAGACAGTCATCACCGCCAAATCCTGGCGGGCATGAACATATGCCATTGTACTGATTACAAGATGAATATTGCCCACATGAGAACGCCGGTAAAAGGCAATTGAAGCTATGATTTATCAGCTGTTAATTATTCGCTGTTATAGGTAATATTGGTAGTACCATGGTGGACAGTTTTCAGGGCGATCACTTGTGAACGATATTTTAGATTGTTGGATATTAATGGATGAGTAGTTTTGTGAAAAAGATGCTCGACATGTACTGGCAAAGGAGATCGCGATAGCTATTGTTCCAAGCAATAGAAGCATCTTGAATCGCTACTCGTAAAGGTGGTGAGGGGCGATATGTTTAAAATACCATTAAGAGCGATGATGGAGGCAACAGCTAATTAAAAAATTTGATTCACACTGCTTCTAGATGAATGAGTGCTCTCTAAGAACAGTGGGGTGTTTGTGATTGCTGAGGGATACAGGATCATTTTTATTGACAGCGTTAGTTACCAGCAGTCTGAGAGCACCTAGTACTAATTATATACACTGGATACTGGATTATGGGCGGAGCTGCATCCCCGGACAATTATTGGCCCGGGCCGGATGCCCATCTATTAATAGGTCATATAATTCCTATCACTCCTTACTCTAACTTGATGGTGTGTGAGCCCAAAGAAGTATCTTTAGATTTTGAATTACACATGGAAAGAAACCTATCGGCAAAACCCCCCTCAAACTTTCTGTTAATTATCTTTGGTTTTCCTATTCGTCCTTCAGAACGCGCGATTACACTATAGTGCCATCTACGTAAGCCAACCACATCTTATTGACCCCAAAAATTGTTTGCCCTGAAACTTCCCCTCAATTGCACTTCGACCGCCTTTGTCGTCTAGAATTGCTCTATCCGACCATTATTTAGAATCCATTGCTCAATTCTTTTGACGTAGCTAGTAGTATCTATGATGGCTTCGTAGGTTCTATCCTTGGCTTGTCTCCAAATCTCTCCTCTTCCATTTGACCATCGAGGGCAGGACATAATCATGTGCTTGGAATTCTGTAATTGCTAGCTACATGAATAGCTTGTACTGTAGCCTCCTGATACCTCTCTTCTGTGTAAATACCATTGAACCCCACGTGCACGCTTCAGAATTGCACTGCCAGACTACTTGGGCGCTTAATAGGCTAGGATGAAGAGAATATGGCGGGCTCTGGAGACTCATTTTCCACCCCTCTGACTACTAACTTCAATAGAACTCAACTACTCTCCAGGTTTCGGGGCCCGCCATACTGAGTTGTCGAGGCTGTTGAATCCACATATTACTTCACTATGATTTCGCCCATTCTTGGTCTGTTGCGACCTTTCCCGCCTCTTTCTGCTATCTTTTAGATTGGTCTTCCTGCAAATTCCCACCCAGTGTGCCGGATCTTACCTTCCGTTCTTATCAGGGATATCAACTCTCCCTTTGACGAGAAGACTGATTTTGCTTACGGCAGATTAGATTTCCTCCTGGACAGTAAGGTCCTTTGAGACCCTAACTTATTGGATACTTTGCTGCATAAAGATGAATTCTATTGGCAGAATAGCCATTTCATGCTCTAATACTTTCGTACTAGTCTACCATAAGCTCCTATGAAGACTTTTGGACACCTCCTTTGAGAGCTTCTGAAAAGCTTGATTATACTTTTATAAGTAATAGTCGCACTATAGACAATGAAGGGATTGTTATTTATCTTGAATTCACCCAGTTAACTAGGCTTGCATACTGAATTTCACAACGCAGACCGAATCATCAACAATATTGTGCAAGATAGATATCTTTCTGAGAATTGATGTTCAGTAAACGTTGCGCAATGTTTTGACCTGGAATATTTACAACAAGAATTATACAACTATACTTGAAGCTAGAAAATGAGTTCATTCCCTTAACCTACAACGTAGATACATTGCAATACACAAGGACTTAGTTCTAATTTACGAACTTGGGTGAAAATCCTAACTAATAATAGGACAAAGTCATACGACTTTCTACAGTGTCCTCTACAAATTCCGGTGTGGGATTTTCTCCCAGAGCCGAGTTCAGTCAGAATTTGCAGCAGCGAGAAAGTTGGCCCACGATTCAATGAACCAAGACTCTCAGCCAAATCAAATCTCCATTCCCAACAAGATCAATTTATACCTTAGCCTCATCAAGTCTACAATTACGACCAAGTAGATACTTATTTCAATGACGGCAGCTCTCATTAACTACTCTCTGGCCTCAGTTGGCCACTAAGTGTGCGCCCACGACAACACTATTACCTGCAGAAGGAAAAGATTCGTGGCGTACAAGTTTTGGAGGCAGTTCTATGGGATGGGCATGAGAGTGATCCAGAAAAGTTTATAAGATGATGCAAAGGAAGGATACAATCTCAACGGGTGTAAGATTTCGAATTTTGGTAAGGAGATTTACATGTCAAAGAGTATTGTACGCGCCAATACTTCAATTGCGAGAGTGCAGCTGATACTATAAACACAAGCAGACGGTGAAAGGCGCCATGGTCCACCACCTGGTGGTGTTCTCTGATGTAGGTAGAGTAGCCCAGGAACCTACTCCACTTGGAAAGGAGAGACCTCAAACCACATTTCGCACAGAGAAGATTCAGTAGATAATGGAGGCATTTCTGAATAACTCGGGTTTTTTTGAGACCTTTCCCCTGGGTGGGTGTTCACTTATGAGGATTGACTTTGGGGGAATAAAAAGATACCATAACTTCGCAGTGGTGCTTGCAATTGAAATCCGAGGCATGAGTGCTCTAGTTGTAATTGAGTCATCTGTTGTGTACTATTTTTGATATTGTGTCATAGCTAGATAGCTGCATACGTAATTAAAATCTGATGTAAAAAAAAGACTAGTGGATACTTCTCCCATAGATGTATATATTATTCCAATGTTTCCACAGTTTCTACAGTTGTAAATATAAAGTATCCTTCACTTCATCATCACCATCATCATAAATTTAGAAAATATCGCATAGAGTATAATTTCCAACAATCTGGGACCAAGAAAATAGCGGAACATTGCTCTAGCTGCCGAGCGATTGCAAACCCTGAAATCTAGATGGCAACAAACATTTTTATTGGTGAAGAGATGGGGGGTTGTTGAGATTATGAGGAGGGGAATTGCATACAAACAGTGGCTTTATCAATATATGCTTGACACTATTATGAAGTGGACGATGATATGTGTACGCTTTATTAGATTCGTTCACCGATGATTGCTATCTATATGAAGGAGAATACTCCTATTTATACCTAAAGCTCATCTATCTAATTGCTAGTAGAATATTCCATCTTGTGATGTAAGATATTCTTTTTTTTTTGCATCAGATTTGAATTGCGTATGCAGCTATCTAGCTATGACACAATATCGGAGAAAAGTACAGAATAGATGATTCAACGTAACGGAAGAGCACTCATGCCTCAGATTTCATTTGCAAGTACCACTGCGAAGTTATGGCGGCTTTTTCTTCACCCCAAGTCAACCCTCATCCGTGAATACCCACCCAGGGGAACGTCTCAAAAACCCTGAGTTATCCAGACATGCCTCCATCATCTTTCAACTTTTCTTCGCGCAAGATATGGTCTGAGATGTCTCCTTCCCAAGTGGAGTAGGTGCCCAGGCTACTCAGACTATACCGAACAAAACCACCAGGAGGCGGACCACAACACTTTCCATCGTTTGCTTGTTTTTATAGTGTCAGCTGCACTCTCGCAAGCGAAGTCTTGGCGCGCACAAAGCCTAATTCGTAAAACTCCTTGCAAATTTTCAAAATTCCACGCCCATTGAGACTGTATCCTTCCTTCGTGTCATCTTGTAAACTTGTCCTAGTCCCTCTCACGTCCATCCCAAAGAGCTATCTCCCAGATTTGTGCTCCACGCTTTGCTTCCTCCAGCGGGTATAAATATCGGCGTGGGCATGTGTTTGGTGGTCAACTGAGGCCAGAGAAGGTCGGAGAGAGGTATGGTCATTGGGATGAGGATGTACTATGTTGTACTTGTAGACTTGATGAAGCTTAGTTGAGAATCGGACTCTTTGAGAGTGAAAGATTGACATGGTGGAGTAATTTGAATCATTGCCTCGTGGGCCAACTTCTTTGATATTGCGAAATTTGACTGAACTTGGCTCTGGGAGAATATTTCACTCCCAGGTTCGTAGAGGACACCGCGCACAGGTGTTCAGTCTTGCCCTCCGTAAGATATTCTATCATAAGCTATAGAATAGTTTACATTCTTGTTCACACCATCCACATGCAACTGTTATGATGTCACTACACCAACCACATCTTGTAAAGATCTCTATATCATCTAATACAGCTTGTCTAATTGGCTGAGTGATTTCACATCATAACAGGGGTTACTAGACTAGACACCTGACGAACACTTGTAAATGTCCACAAACACCTAAGTAGGACCCAGAGTAGCATAAATATGTAGATAAGAGGCAATCATATTGGACTCAATTCCCATCCGTACAGACGTATAGTTCACCAGGTAGATAATCTACGATACCAATTTGGATAACCCTCCCAAAATGTTAAGCACATGGCTATAGGCTGCTATTAAAATAATATGTCGAGCTAAAGTGGCATACCATTAGGATGGAGGTATGAAAGAAAATTGCTATTGCTTTAATATGAGCATAATTGGTAAGATTTACACTTCGGACCTTGGTCAGTGAGAGAAATTGAAGATGTTGTTGTGATCTAGGAAAAGCTAAGAATTGTTTATGCATACCTGCATAAACGTTATGCTATGGCGCTTAATAAGGATGTTATTGTAGACTGCTGGACAAACAGGAATAGCCGCACTATGATTGGTGGGATTAGTATGGTGTGAACCTGCAAGGGTGATAGGAGAGTAATTTAGGTGTGGTCCGGAGTACACAACCATCTTCTGTCTGTACATCTCTCTATCTTTCAGCACATAATAAAGTGCGTAGCATCTTTACTAGTATCTATAATCAACTATCTACAAGAGCAGTATTTATAGACCATACTCCATTTACATACGAGTAGCAGAGTCAGTATTGAACCCCTAGGTAACCTCATTATATAATAGATGTTCCCGATTTCCTCGAGTATATGAATGGTCTGATAATTGTATAAATTTCCTGCTTTAAAGTTCTCATCTTATTTACGTGGCAGGAAGCTCCTCGATATATGTAAAACGAGGGTACTTCTGCACACTGCAGAGTGTTCCGACATAATCCGTATTTTAACGAAAAAAGAGATATTGGAGATCCTACGGTCAGTAGGCGCTTCGAGGAATCTCCTAGGAATTACCTGGTCATACTAATGAGTATGATGTGGATTACTCAAGTCTCATGAAGCGTCTGCATATTTTTCTGATGTGAATAGTTTATTGTAATACAGTCATGTTACTTCCTTAACTGCAATACTCGCTAAAACTGGACAAAAAAAAGGAGATATTATCAGTGAGCCAAAGATTCGCTCATTGAAAGCCATGGCAGACAGGCCACTGGATGCAGCTAAGATGACATGATGTACTAAATATGAAGGACTAGACCAGTTTTGGCTCAAGTGAGAAGTTGAAGTTACTACACGAGACAGGGAGAGAGAGAGGTATGTTTATTGTACTGCTCGAGTCTATGACTATCTATAACATTGGGCTTCTCTCTGACACAGGCCACACTTTGTACAGTGCTTCTACCCTCTTTTGTTACTTCAAAGATCATTGATTTATTGTCCGTGATGAATAGCCATTCAGCCCTCTTTTCCATGGAACCTTCTACCCCCCAAAAAATTAAAATGGTAGCAATGGATACTGCGTGCGCGGGATAAAGTCTCAAAAAACCTGCAGCCCCAGCCAGACGAGGCCTAGACTCCGGGACCACATGAGGTGCGTATATTCATCTATATCTCCCTTCTTGGTAACAGTCGAGGTCGACTTGATCCAATCCGCCATCTCCGTATCGGGTGCTGGGTACGCTCCGGAAACTCATCAGATAGCTTTTCCTCCATGATCAAGGGTTGGTGATGAGTAGGACTCCAACCCTACCATCTGATCTGATCGTGGTTAGCTTCATGATAATGGTGATAGGGGGGATGTGTTGAGAGATGAAGACGATACAGACCGCGAAAGCGATTGGGAATCTTCATCGAAGTGAGGACTTTGTTACTCAAACTTTGCTCTGCAGACTCTTTGGTAAAAGCTAAGGGCTTAGAGTGACGCCATTGACAGACGTTGAGTTTTGGCTTTCTTTTTTGCATTGAAAGCAGACAGAAAGAGACTGGCATATCTAGATAACTCCGGGTTTATTGTGTCTTACTCAAGGGCTTTTATGCATGTTAGGAGACTGGTTAGAGTCCCCATAGGCAACCCTGGGTAGTGGTATCATTCAACGTAACCTACCACATGAACCGGATTTGTCCATGTCGAGCTCTATAATATGTAAGTATCGTCGAACTTTGAATAGCCTGGCAACAGTAAATGTAATAAACACAAAAGCGAATCGTCCTTTGAACGAGAGGCAGATTGCGGGAGGTCAAAATCGTGTAGTTAAAACGAAAAATGTACGTTTTTGAAAAGTACTATCCACTGTATTATAAAAAGAGTGACTAAACCAATTAAATAGTGTCTCGTGAGTGTGGTCCAAGTTTGTGGATGATGTCATGTGACCAATCTGGTTGATACTGTCTATTAATGCTTCACGTCTTACATCGCCGACAGTCTCTTATCGTCGCTCATAATCTTTTGGCTGAAGTAACATGAGCGTTTATTATGCTAGATAATTGTTAAGGGAAGCTGTGTGAACTGGCTCACAATATGTTATGTACAAGGGTCGAGTTGAGACCTTTCCTTATAGGGAATAGCGTTTAGCTAAAGGCAACAATGTATTTATAGAATTCCTCCCGGCAGGGAGAAGAAATAGGAATGAATTGAGTAACCCCACACAAGCTTGTGAATTGACCATTGGTAGTGTTCCGACAAAAGCACTACTCCGTTCAAAATCTAGCGCTTTGGGCCAGAGTTCTGTTGTTAGAAAGCGCGTGAGACAAGTGCGGGCAAGCTTCGAACTCGAGTTTGTTGAAGTTCACCGTAATCAATTATTGAATCTTGGTTGTCTAAATTTTGTCGGACTTCTAAATGAGTTCTTGGGTGTCAGTGACCTGGCTTGATATAAGAGAGTATTCACAAGACAATTAATTTAAGAATCAATAATTTATTTCGATGAAACCTGTGCTAGTCATCATCATTGGATATTTATCTCGGAAGAATTAATCCACATATTTGTCCTCTACTCGCTTTTCGGTTAATTCTGCTTCTAATTTCTCTTCGATTGGCTGATAGACTAGGTACCAATCTTACATAATTTCTCATTATTTAGTTCATAGCTGGATTCGATATGCAGCGTTGTAGTCTCTTTTGGTTCTTATTAATACTTTCCTTTCGTATCCATTCCCATTGTAGAATCAAGCGAGATTGCCAGCATCTTCTAGTGCGCTTCTAGCTTTTTCACTATCTCTTGAACTTCTATCCTCGCCTAATACGCCTGTAAACCACATGCAGCTCACACTAGCTGCTGTGACAAGACAAATTGCGCTCATAGATTTTAATGTACGATCAAAATCACTTGATATGAGGCTTTGATTGACTACCTTGCCTCCCTGGTCCCTAATCTTGACCCTAGCTTTTAATGGAGCTAAACTCGGATATCCTTCAATTATCGTCGAAACAAGGCTAGAGCTGATTCTCCATATTGAGTAGGTTTCGGGTTTTCTCCACGGTAACCGCTCGGATGCTTGGCTAAGCTTAAGTTCCCCATAAACATCACCAATCCCGACAGCACCACCGAATATCTCTGTTCGTAACTCTTGAGTCCATGCTGCGAGTCGTGGAAATTTTTGACGCATCGTCCTTGCTAGCCATGGTTGGGGTAATTCTGGAATAAGCATTAAGGATAGATAGCCCAGGGCTAGACAGTCTAGGGATGTAAACTGTGAATTGGAAACGAGATATCGCTTCTTAGCTCGTAGGGCTTCAAGGGGTTCAAAGCATTCTGAAGCTAAAGCGTCTAGGCGTATTTGCGCAGCGGTTTGCGATGAAGCGGTAAGTATCTTAGAGACTTCTGCTCTCGGTTTTCGCAGCCTCTCCGGAACACTAGTCATGTTAGAGTCATTCGACTCAATACAGGTTTCAATTTCAAGGGCTGCAAGGCCTAGATGTGCAGTACGAGATCGAGCTGTACAACGACGGGCAGAAGGTATCAAGTATGGCAGTGGGAATGGTTGAAAGGTGCTATATACTGGGCGAGTAATTGTTGTATAGTTTTCCGACATAATGTATAATGAAAGATCGAGGAGCGGTTCGGCGTGGGAGTCGAGAAAAGCTGAAAAGCTGGGTGGAACAGAGGTCAGTAAGGTTGCAAGATAATTCGAAAATCTCATCCATCTTACGCCACACAATCTGCCTCTTCTTGCTCTTCCAGTCCCGCATCTAGAATCCTTTTGCCAGAGGAATGTTGGGCCACATAATGAAATATGTTGCGGAAACCTCCGATCCAGACTCCATCATCTTTCAGTGCGGGAAGTTCATCTATGTCTGTGTCAGTTATTAAATTTAGTTACCCTGACAAACACTAACACGTTGGAGATAATGCCGAGTTGCTACTTGCCACTACCAGCCAATGTCCCGCTGGGACAGCTTGTTGCAAATAAGCTAGGGCTGCAAGGCAATGAGCATCAATCGATGGCAAGCCAAAAGCCGGTCCCCAGATATGGAGCTCTAACATCAGTAATGTGTCGATTTAAGATCGCCAAAACACGCTTGGCCATCTCTCATAAAGCGCGTTACGTGTCACCAAAGTAGCCACTTCAATATCAATTGCCCTCATCACATGACTCCTTCACAGATTTGGGGTTTTATCACCTGACACCGAACACAAGCATTTGAAATGAAAGCTGGACAGCGTTAAAGTACTATCTGCAAACTAAAAAGTGAATTATATTCTAGGATCCAAGATTGGAAACTTATTCTCGAATGAAACTGTTACCGTTACCGATGAATTGAAATAAATTGAATTTTAACTATGTCCTTATTGAATCTAAGACTATGAATGACAGCCAAAACTATCTAAATAGATTTCAAGTTGATAATGAATTTGGACATTGATATGCTCAATATTTGCCATTAGGTGATGAGGATCATTCCTTACCGATATCGATGAATTGCTCTTCAGAAATAGAGGTTTTACCTTAATTTGGTTAATCTCTCGTGCAAGAAATGTTTTATGGCCAAAACAAATGAACAGATTTTATCAGAGCTAAATAGCTGAATACTACGGACCAAGGGGTGAAATATTCTCCCAGAGCCCAGTTCAGTCAAATTTCGCAATATCAAAGAAGTTGGCCCACGAGGCTATAATTCAAATTACTCCTCTAATTCGTTTTTTCGCTCCCAACGAGTTTGACTTCTTCCAAAGTCTCATCAAGTCTGCAAGCACGATCAAGTACATCCTCATTCCAATGACCACAACTCTGGTAGACTTTCTCTGGCTTTAGCTGGTCGCCAGGTACACGCCCGCGCCGATATTTACATCCGACGGAGGAAGCAAAGAGTGGCGCGCAAATTTGGGAGACAGCTCTTTGGGATGGACGTAAGAGGAATCAGGACAAGTTGACAAGATGATGCGAAGGAAGGATGTAACTACGAAGGGCGTGAGATTTCGAATTGTTGCAAGGAGCTTTTACAAATTGAGCTTTGTGCGTGCCAAGGTTCGGTTGTGAGAGTGCCGGCGACAGTATAAAAACTGCCATGGTTGGATGGTGCGGTGATACATCGTCTTGGCCGGTCTACCAAGTAGAGTCTGGATAGCTTGGATACATATCCCACTCGAGAGAGTAGATCGCTGGTTCAAATCTGGCAAGACACAACCTTATTTCTCGCGGTGCAGGTATACATGGATGATGAAGGCATGCTTGGACAATCAAAGGTTTTGAAATTCACCTTAGTGGGTACTTACGGAGGAGGGCCGACTTGAGGAGAAGAGAAAGCCACCATAACTTCTTAGTTGTACTTACAAATAGAATCCGAGGTATGAGTAATATATTTGTAAATATTATAGCTTAACATAACTGTATGATTCCATAGGGTACCTGAATAGGATAGAGGAGATTGAATCTAATATCACGCTGACGCAGAGTATACGAGTTCTCCACGTACCGCTCAACCCAATCTTGATTAAACTACTCCACGTGTTAGTGCAAAGACCTACCCAATACAACAGGCAAAGCGAAGATCATATTTTCTACGCTCGAATATAGTTTTCTTTTAATTTAACGTCGTGCTAGCTCACGACAAATCTGTAGAGTCTGGTGTCAGCCAACTCAGTCTGTCTAAATTACCCGACGTGCCGACGCTTTTACATAAGCCCCACATGTAAATAAATGGGCCAAGACAAGCCTGCCACACTCCCGGGACTTTCCAAAGGCGTCCGATACACTCTACCGCTGAGACTTTTATTTTCTAATACAGTATGGTATGGTATGTATTTTTTATTGTACTACTTGAGTCTGTGATTATCTAGCACATCGGGCTCCTTTTTGACCCAGGCCACACCTTGTACAGAGTTCCTTACCTCTCATGTTTCTTTAAAGATCATTGATATATTGCCCTTGATGAATAGCCATTCAGCTCAGTGTTAACCCGTGGAATTCGGCCAATTTTTCCACGGAACCTTCTACCCAAAAATAAAATGGTAGCAATGGATACTGCGTGCGCGGGAAAAAACCCTGCAGCCCCAGCCAGGCGAGGCCTAGACATCGGGTCCAGATGAGGTGCGCATATTCATCAATACCTCCCTTCTTCGTAACAGTTCAGGTCGACTTGATCCAATCCGCCATCTCCGTATCGGGTGCTGGGTACGCTCCGGAAACTCATCAGATAGCTTTTCCTCCATGATCAAGGGTTGGTGATGAGTAGGACTCCAACCCTACCATCTGATCTGATCGTGGTTAGCTTCATGATAATGGTGATAGGGGAATGTGTTAAAGGATGAAGTTGATACAGACCGCGAAAGCGATTGGGAATCCTCGTCGAAGTGAGGACTTTGTTACTCAATCTCGACTCTGCAGACTCTACAGTGAGAGCTAAAGGCTCGTAGGGGACACCGCTGACAGGTGCTGAGAAAAGTCCCCCTCCAATACAGTTTAGAACGCCCGAATTTAAATTACACATAATTTTCGTCCATCAGTCGATTATCATGATTTACTGATGATATTACGGGGGGAAGATATCTAATCTAATTACGGCCGGAACTTGCAACTATTATTTACTAGCTGATGTGGTCACGTGCATTTCATGTTTCGGATCTCGCTTATTAGTGGGCATCGGATGCCACAAACAGAAATCCAAATTACTTCCCTATTCACAAACACAACCAATTTCGCACCCGCCGCTTTTAAATATCCTCCGCTCAATTTATAGCATACAACATGGCCGACGCGCAGAGAGGTGGTGCTGGAGCGGCTCGCGGAGGAGGATTCGGATCGCGAGGTGACCGTGGAGGTGATCGTGGGCGTGGACGCGGAAGGCGAGGGCCTCGTCGTGGCGCTAACAAGAATGAAGAGAAGGAGTGGCAGCCCGTCACAAAACTTGGACGACTTGTCAAGGAAGGAAAAATTAAGTCCATGGAAGAAATCTACCTACATTCGCTCCCCATCAAGGAATACCAGATTGTGGACTACTTCTTGCCAAAGCTAAAGGATGAGGTCATGAAGGTATATCACATCCACTATACAGCATCAAAATGTCGTATTTATAAAACGAAGATAGTATTAACAATCATGTTAGATTAAACCTGTGCAAAAGCAAACTCGTGCTGGTCAGCGAACCCGATTCAAGGCCATCGTCATAATCGGTGACTCCGAAGGCCATGTCGGCCTTGGCATAAAAACTTCGAAGGAAGTAGCCACTGCTATTCGGGCAGCTATAATCATTGCAAAGTTGAGCGTAGTCCCTATTCGAAGAGGATACTGGGGCTCTAATCTTGGTCTTCCTCACTCCCTTCCTACGAAAGAGTCTGGCAAATGTGGATCAGTTTCTGTTCGTGTAAGTATTCCATATTAATGAACCAAAAAGGATAGAAGAGTTGACTCCATTAGCTCATCCCTGCCCCTAGAGGAACCGGTCTAGTTGCCTCTCCAGCTGTTAAGCGTCTCCTACAACTAGCAGGTGTTGACGATATATACACCTCCTCGTCCGGCTCTACCAAGACCTTAGAAAACACTCTAAAAGCTACATTTGTGGCTGTCAGCAATACTTATGGATATCTCACCCCCAACTTATGGAAGGAGACTAAGCTAATCCGCAGTCCTCTTGAAGAGTTTGGAGATGTTCTACGAGCTAGCAAGCGCTAAAAATATGCCCTAGGGCATAGTGAAGCAAACCTGTTAATTCAATGACACATCCTAATCCGTAAACACTCTTATAAAACAGTTTTTACGCAGATCATGTCAACTAATTTTATTTCGTGAATTAGTATTAGATGCATGCTTCTTGACGTGATTACTACAGCGTTTCGTGAGCAGAACAGCTGCAACGCTTTGGACCACATTTGAGAAGCCTGAATCAACGGACATTAAATTAAAATAAGATTCAAGTGAGCTCGACTGTTTGATCTTGTGATGACGTGGATTATACTATGTGAACAGCTAGACACGTTGCCTGCCGCATTACCGTATCCTTCAAACTTAGGAATTGAGTTTTGTATTCTGATTCACAAAATTATACTATAAGTGATCAGGCTTGGTTCGAGGGAGTATTTAAGGGCATTATTACTACTATTCTAGTCTAATGATGCAAGTTGCAAAACTATGTTATCAGTTTTCTGACTTGATGCGCTAGAAGACGAATCAAGACTCATCTTTTCCCTCATAAACTAGTATTCTACAATTCAAAACGAAAAACAATCGAGATATAAAAATGTGTATGAGACTATCAGTTCTGATGTTCGTTACCCATATATTTGATGTCTTCTGAGCTTGAAGTGTATCTACAGGAAAGTCGGGCACAGCTGAGACTCATTATTAACGTAACTTGAAAGGGATCGAAAAGTTTTCGTTTTCTTCCAAACCGTTTAGCTATCCATTTTGAAAAGTATTTCCTTTAATCGTTGCCATATGGAACTTAGCTTACTGCTTATTCTCGATATAAACGTAAATTTAGGCCAAGGTTAAGCCCCACTAATTCTGCCTCAAAAATTGAGTAACGGGAGGTTGGTATGTAACAAGGCCTATAAAAATGCTCGGTTCATTCGATTTGTATTTGAAATGAGCGTGTAGCCAGCAGTGTGCGTTTCGATTTGATATACCCATTGTAATTTAGATTTTCGTACAACAGATGATCAAAGTTATGTAAATCAGTGATTCAAGAGATGAGCTTGACCTGCATTAGCTTACTTAAGTCGTTCTTTGAATTTTCTATTCGAGCGTTAACTTTAGTTAAATCCTTATCATTGCTTCACGATGCAACCTCCTAATCAAAAAGCATTGTGACTGTGATATTTAATCAAGCGTTTGAGTTAATTCCCCACCTAGATTGATAGGAATTAATTGTCATTCGGAGTTGAAACAGTAGAAAAATGTATATTTATTTCCAAACTGTTGGGAGAAACCAATGTAGAGGGTGAAACGAATCCTCCCGAACATAAATTTAGTTTCGGAAGGTCAGAGTGCCCTTCAATTTAATCTTGGAACACAAGAGGGATGAATGAGCATTAAATTGTGCATTCCATCTTTTTGCGTGTGTTGCGCTCCCGTTTAAACTTGGTCTGTGCGTATAAGTTGACATAGCAGCCAACATGCTTTAAATAGAGTGTAGGGAAAAATGAACTTTACGTAGGAATACTAATTTAGCTCAGATATTTCGTCACTTACATCTTTTAGTAATGATTAGTAGTTGCTTCGTCCTCATAAATCTTTTTGTTTAGTTTTCAATAAGAACAGGTAGCGGACGTGCGGATATCGTGAGAAAATGTAAGCATTTGAAGTTTTCCCACCCGTGAAACTTTTTGACGGGGGTGAAGGTGCATAAAGTAGTAAAATGGTTATTTGTAAATAGAGTGTAGACCTTTTATGAGCTTGCGAGTCTGGCAGCTTTGAACCGACTCAGCTTCTTAGGACCGCCTTCCTCCTCTGTGAATTCGACCCTCTCATTCTCGATCTCTTCCAAAAAGCCACCTTGACGCTGAATCATCTTATTTCGCATCTTAAAATACTCTGTCGCTATTTCTTGGTGTAATAAATTCTGATCCATTTCACCTGGTTCAGTTACTGAAGCTTTTGTGGGAGAAAAACGCTCGATTATCGTAGCGGCAAGAGGTCGACCTGGGGGCCCTTCTGGCACTGTGCGGGCTGAATCGCTCGTTACTCTTTCAGGTAATCTTGAAGGTTCAATATCCGATATATTCTGCTTTCGGATACCGTTCTTGTGAAATTTGTGCGGAATCTCCTCAACTATTTCACAATTTTGAATGTCTTGAAAGGCTGTTGATTTCATTTCAAGTTCTGATGGCCTTTGAACTAGAAATGAGGTAGTTGCATTATCTTTACAGTTGCTATCAATTTTTTCCTCCCGTGTTTTTAACCCACTGTAGGCATTAATGGTGATACGGCCAATACCTTCGCTTACAACATCGTAATCGCTCGCCTTTTTCCCTATGTTTGCCATTACATTTAACCCTAATCGCTGCTCTAGCTTGACCATTTTCTGCCGCAGCTCATCGCTTACAGCCCGGCTAGTAGATCTTCCAAAGGAGTCCTCGTCTGAATCGCTGATCTCCTCCTCGTTAGAGTCATTGGAATTTTCATCAGATAGGTCGGTCTCGTTCTCCAAATGTAGCTCAGCTACTACAGCACCAACTTCAGACATTCCATAGTTGAGCATCTCTCTTCTTAGTTTAGAATCTTCGATTGATTCATTAATAGGAATAACGGGTTGATTAAATGAGAAGCTTTCTTGTTGTCGAGCTATCCTCATAATTTCTTCAACCCGTCTCGCGGTTGCCGATTTCTCGGTACTTGGGCCTGATTTAGTATCTCCTGTGAAAGTCACAGATTTCTTGACGATTTCATCTGGCAGAGTGTTAATAACATTTTTTGTAGCGGGGGAAGTTAATTGCGCGTCTGGGTTTGAATATGTAGGCACATCTGTGTTGACTGCTCTTTGAAGTGTATGGAGAACCTGTGGGTTTAGGCTGCCTGGAGTAGATATGGTAGAGGATATAATTTCTCCTTCCTCATCTACCTCTTCTGTTATCTCGGTCAATAGAGCTTCATCTTCATTGTCAATGTCAGAACAATTGTCAGTGCTACCTGTGCTTAATTTATTTTTAGCGGTATCAAGCTGAGATTTCAATGCACGAATATTTCGTTCTACATAGTCAAGTCGTCGATCCAGCAAATTAATGATCTGAGGTACACTTCGAGGGATAACTTGTCCCAAGATATCATCTATTTCTTTCTGGTTTAGTAGCTGCCCACCATATTGATCGCCAATCAGACGTAGGGCCTCTTGTGTGAATGACGTGGTGGCTAAAATTTCTTCTTTAAACCCTTCATATTCGGCTTCCCATAATTGCCAATGGCATAGGGAATTTTGTAGATCGCTAATATGGTTTTGTAAAAGGAGTTGGTGACATTCTAGGTCAGCATAATTGTCTTGTAGTGTAGTTATCATGATTTCGCGTCGCAGCTCACGCTTAATGAGGCTAAAGTGGATTCTTCAGTGAAATTAAATATCTAGTCTTTCCTTGCTTGGATAATTTTTACTTTCTTCTTTGATATGCAAGTAGTTTTGCAAGCCGAAATACTGATCTAAATTGAATCGGCTGTAGAGTGCTGCAGTTGCTCATGAAACAATTATATTATCCAAACATTTAAAGGAATCAAATATAGTTCGTGCAAATTTATTAACTAGCTTCATTGTCATGTTTTTTTAAACGAAATAGACATAGAATTCAGTGTAGTGGAAATAAACATCATTCATAACACGGCGAGGTGAGTACCATTGAAAAGAGTGGATGTGTCAAGCACAAGCTTTTATTGGGAAATTACTGGGAAGACGACCTCCTTAGCCTTGGCGTGTTTTGCCTTTGTTTACATTGTGCAACCCGGCTAGTCCGATCCAAACAAATGAGAAGCGATAGCAAAGCCAATTTAATTGCCCCAGTCGACTCTGCTCATGAAGGATCCAAACCTAAGCTCGACACCCACGCGTAGTGCGTTCAGTAAATTCGACATATCAGCCAGGAATATTTTAAATTAGCTTATCGCCTGATAATATTTAATACGCCCTATCAAACGAGATCACTTCGGAGGCAAGTAATACTACCGTAAATTATGCTAATCACTAATGTCATAACAGTTCAGAATTATATTTCAGGCACCTTTTTAGTCTTTTGAGAAGATGGCGGAACCTATTGATGAAGCTCGAAATAAAAGATCACAAATGATTAGTCAACGCGCCGCCAGCATTCTGCGATCAAATTCTCCCATCTCATCGACAGGATCTTGTCATGGCACAGTCGTATCAAATAATTCAACGACTGGCCTCTTCTCAGACATAGATGAAGACCATGCCAATGGGGACGTGTGGAACTCCACTGGCCAATTCATAACTAGCTCCAACGATAAGCAAATAAATTCAAACAACATACGCTCTACAGCAAAGAAATACAGTCGCTGGGAACCACGTTCTCACAATGCTGCGCCCCTGAGTACATCTGCTATTGCCTCTGCATTTCCTGATTTTACATCTGCTGGGGTCACATCCACTGAAGAGGACATGATTGATGAAAACATATCTCTTGAGTTTGCTCGTGGTACCAAAAAGTTCCAAAAACATGCTCCAAACTCTGCTAGTATCCGTCAACTACCATCGAATTTCACACTCGACTCTAATTCAAATACTCACACGCCTCATAATAATATACACGGAAACAGGGTGATGGCAGAAGCTGTACCCAGACCTATCGTTAAGGATAGCTTCAAAAATTCTACCAGGACCACTAGTAAACTTAAGCCAGAGCCTCAGGTCCAAAATAATAATAATGAGAAAAAACCGACTGTTCATCAAACATCCTTCCAGCGACCACTAACGCTAGCTGGCACTCATCAGACAAACCGTACTTATGTCGATGAGCGACGTTCCACTAGAACATTGCAGCCCCATGTTACCGACGATTTAGACAACACTACTTGCTCCAGGGACCAGATTATAACGAAGCTGAGCTCAGATGATTTAGATCAAGGTGTGCATGCATCTAAACTCAACAACAAAATTTCATATCAGACAAAAAGTACTCGGTTCTTAGATTCCCGCCAACAAACTTCCAGAAATGACAAATTCACACCCAAAAAAGAGTCAAACACCTCTAAATGCCACAATCGCAATCTACATCATATCAGACCTAATTCCCCGTCAAATTCCGAAATTAATGCTACAATTAAGTCATCGACCTCTTTTGCCGTTGATACCCAACAACTCGATCAAAACCCAGCAACAACGAACCCAACTCAGACAGGTACTTCATTCCTGTTACCTAGCTACGGTCATACTCAGCAGACCTCAACGGCCAACAAAGGTCTACCGATTTTCATGGCCCAGGGTAGAGTCCATAATACAAGGCTCCCCCACGACTTTATCGACGGTATCAATGTACCTATAGATGAAAACCATATCTACGATATGATTGACATCATAAATAGCCAAAATAATAAGATTTACAGTAGGACTGGGGAGACACTGCAGAAAACCGATGAGAGAAACGATGAAAGGGCCGTCATAGATGTCGGAAAACAATCCGACAGCGGTATAGGTGAAAGCGGAAGTGATATGTCCGCACATAGTTCTCGTAAAGTCAAGATTCAACTTATGCGTGAGCTTACCTCTACACTCCTAGGACAATAACTAACCAGCAATCTAGAAACTAGAAGACTTGTCGAAGATCTTGAGCTCAAGTTGCACGAATCAACTGATCAGAAGAGTAAACTTGATGCTAAATGTCAGCTTCTTGAGACAAAAATAAATCGCCTCGAATCAAATCAAGACATAGCTTCGTCAAATAAAAATACTAAAAGCCTAGAAAAATCGAGTGGAGAGAAACACCCGCAGGCTGAACATAAGCATATAATTCATGAGAATAAGCTTCTCAAACGTGAGATTGAGTTGCTTGATGAAGAAAACCTTAATCTTAGGACAAGAATTTGTGATATCCTGAACCAATCCAGAAACCAAAGCACAAGAGACGCCGAGAGCAGCCCAGAGACAGAGAATTTTTTAAATCAGAACGAAAAGCTGATCGCCGAAAATAACAGTTTCTTAACTCAAAACAAAGAATTGTTAGCTGAGAATTGGGCTCGAATGAATGAGAATAAGGAACTAATGGCTAAAATCCAGCAACTAATAAGCGAAAGACGTCAGTACGAGCACAGTAATCCTAACCGTAAATTAAATTTAGACAAGCCCGAGACTTCAAGCAGTAATAAGCATGCTGATGAGACAAGTTTAAAGGTAGAAAAAAATTATGAGAAATCAGAAAGGACTGCAAAATCCGAAATCTATGAGCGCCAGATCAGAGAGCTAACTCATGAAAACCAAAAAATTCGCGCCAAGCTAGTGCGTAGTGAGAAGAGTCGCCGCTTCTTGAAGGCTAATACAGAAAAAATTCTCGAATCAACTCACGAGATATTGAATGAAACAAAGGTCTCTGATTACACCAAGACTCTATCATCAAGAAAGAAAAGAGTTAACTTGAAGCCATCATCTTCACGACCAGAGGATCAGGACGAAAAATCCACTCAGCTTCAGGATTTAGAGAATTCTGTCGCTCAGGAATACTATGAATTGACCGAAGACCTTGTCGCAGCAGATGAGACTTATGGCGAGAGCCTCTCCGTCCATGTCAATAATACTAGAATTCGATCAGAAAATATGGCAAATGATGAAACATTCAACGTTTCAACTTCATCCAATTTTTCTGATCTGTTAGGTGAAGGGCTTGCAGAAAAGTTGCGCAATAGAGTTGATGAACTAGGGGAGATCCTCGATCGTCGACGGACAGAGCAATCTCAGATTATTCATAATGAGGCCCACAAGGAAACTCAAGCTGAAGATACTGAACAATCGGGTTGTATTACATCTTCTGAAGTTCCAGCTTCCCGTGCTCCCTCGGCCATGGCTAATGAAGAACGGCACCTTCGTAACCAAAGTCGTCGCCGAACGATCACTCTCAATGAACGTGACTCAACCACTGTATCACGCACATCTATTCGACGTCACTCAGTGCCTGCATGCCAGTCTTCTATTCACATAGATCAGTCGAAAATAGAAAAAATCGCGACAGACATGAAGGACAATAACGATGCCAAGGATAGAACCCATCTCTCATCTTCCAAAGCCCCAAAACCCAGTTTCCATAAATCCTGCGACCACCAAGCCCAAAATTGCACCATTTGCCTTTGTAGTACTTCTGACAAGGATTTACAAAAACCTAATTATCATATCAAAGTTGAGAAGCCAATACCCGTCTCCAATCGAATACATATTACTACACCTTATGGAGATGACCCTACAATACGCCCGTCGACTTCGCCTGGCCGAGCATTGGCCACTGTTATTAAGGGCCTCAAAGAAGAGATTGAACATACCGCACTAAAATATAATAATGTCCACAAGACTTACATGTCACATGACGCCTCTCTAGGTCGAAAAATAAGAAAAGGACTTAGCAACTCTATGAAATCACTACACAAGGAAATGGAAATTAAAAAGGATCAACTCTATGCCCTGTATGATGTGCTTGAAGGGCAAAAACAAGCTCAACAAGAAATGACTGATGAATTTTTAGACCTAACGCTCACCCAACTTGGAGTGGTTGTTGATGATACATGGGAAGGCATTGACTAACAGAATGCACATTCTAACACTAATCGCAATAATTTTGAGTATAAGCAAGTAAATTTACTTTTAATTAGCAATTGTAAACTGTGGATCAGATATCAAATTGCATAGCAATGTTCAAGGGCCATCAGCTCAACCATCTGCGAATAAAACGGCTGCTGTTGTCTCGCTCATTATCATTGCTTAATAGGGCTGCAAAGCTGGACAAAATATATATTCTATCATACCCGAACAGAGATACAAGGGTCTATAAAGTTTAGGTTAATAATTGACAATTGATTTATCAAAAGATAGTTCTCATTTTTCGACGTAACTAGTGTAAAGCTCGACTTCATTCTTGATATTGCAATCCGATTTTATTTCCCTACTTCGTTTTCTTCTGAGTCAATAATAAATCCATTCATCTCTCCTATCTAAGCGATGAACTTTATGAAGCATTTTAAGGTTTATGCCTGTATAGAGAAAATAGTAAGTGATTTATATAGTATCTTAACAAGGCTGAAAAAGTGAAGTAAAGGTAATTGGCACTAAGATGAGGGTCATGCCGTATTTTAATTCTCAAAACTGTTGGAATGATCACGGAGTGGTTTCACGATCGATCTTTACAGTCCAGTAAAGAGTGCTACAATTCTGTGTTGTCTTAATGTCATCTAATGTTCTGTCTTCTGTTTTATCACTATTCAGGATTCACAGCTATATTGTGGGTCCTGGCTAGCGCATAAATGCCGAGGTAATCATGTTAATTCTTCATGATGACAATCTACATTTATGATGTAGGTGAACAGACAAAATTCATTCTTGAAATGGTGGAATTTTTGGTGTGATCAAACCTGCAGCCTAGATTGTTTCGAAGAATATTCTTACAGGGGCTATTATTGTTCATTGACTTTGATGATCAAGTGTGCCAGATAAACTGTTGTCCGAATGGTTAAAGATAACATTATACCTTCGCTCACAGTTAGGGAAATAATCATGTTAAGTGAGTAATCAGAAATAGCATTAATTGAATTGAGACGCCTTGAAATCTATGGAAGAGAATGCCTGATTGAATTCATTTATTTCCTGTTATTTCTGATGATTCCAAAGTTATTTAATTCATCGCACGTTCGGTAAACGTCGATGCAACACAGGGAATGTGATTTTCAGGTGCTTCCAAGTCGTAAACCCCTCTGATACCTGTGTTTCTAGAGGCTAACTTCATTGGAATTTATCATAGACGTATATTGATTTGCTACTAAGCGGGTACTCGATCATCTCTAAGTCTCGAAGCTCTGACAAATTTCAAACTTTTACAAAGATTTAAATGAAATAACTATTAAAATCCACTTCTCTCGTCTCATAATCATAAATACAAACGTATTACCCTTCTGTTCCACCATGCGAATGTGGGAAAGGGTGGATTTAATATTGAAATAGCGCTGCAACAAGCTTGGGATACAGAAGTAGACCTGGTCATGGTACAAGAACCATGGACCTTGCTAGAAGATGGAGAGGTCGCTACGAAATGCCACCCTAACTTCACTAGTTTTGCACTCTTCAGAAATATAGTAGCGAGATCACGACTACGCGCCATTACTATTGTCAGGTAAGGTCTGCAAGCGACACAAATCACACCTTTATTAAGCCAGACGTCGGAAAATTGCTTCATGCAGATGTCCAGGCTGACTTTAATAAACCTCAATCGTGTCCCGGGCCACGGTGGGACTTTAACTCAGTCTTACAGCACTGGCAGCCGATAATATAACATCAATACGGAAACGGTAATTTCATCATGGGATGGGCTCGGGAAAAACAATATTTAGCTACTAAGCACCATTGAAGAAAGCAACCACCGAGATTGAAATGTGCTAGATCTAACCTGGAGTAATACGACGGCTTTGTATAAGTCTCAACCCGCTTTCACTGTACATCAGACCACTCTACTATTAAGGGCTCAGTAAACACACCTGGGTACTTGGAGCTATCTGAAATTCCAATAAAAACCCGCGTGAGGGACTGCGATCTAGGCGAGTTCGCCCAATGCGTGAAGCATTGGGCAAGGCCTGGCCCCCTTTGTAGTTAAATCGAGATTGAGGACTTCAGAGTTAATTTAATGCGAGTACTTCAGGACGCGGTTTAAGTTGTCGGACTAGTAGCCGCGGTAGGTAAAGTAAAAATTGTCTCTTTGTGTACTGACAACTGCAAAAGACGACAGACTGACTACAGAATATGTTTGGGTTAGACCAGGGCTTGGAATATGCCGAGAAGCTCGGATTTATTTCAGGTTACCGTTTCTCCTAGAGGTATGATCCGAAGGTCTATGATTCAAAGTGTGAGAGGTCCAGTTTGTTATGAAACTGGATTATGAGTGGATAGAGATATACCTGTACTATTGGTTGATCAAGCTGGTGAGCTGTTGGGGTCTATCTGTAGGTGAGTTGAGAGTGTATTAGATGAGAGATTAGAATGGTTGATGGATGATATCTACTTGTAGAGTTATTAATCTATTGTATACATGTCTCCCTCGCTTGTACTCACTCAACATGACCACACCAGTTCTTCTCTAACTCCGATGGGGAATTCCTTGACTCATCTGTGTCCCTCCTCAATTATGTGCGACTGCATCCTAGACATATATCCATGACACAAAACCCCGGACATACTATGTTCCCTAGTGGTGGCTCCTTGACTCAGCTGCATCACGCACTGGTCATGTATCAGTCGAGTAAAGATGAATGCTCATGACATGATACTTCTGATACGAGGCACTCGTTGACTATGGCTCCTTAACTCCGTCGTATCGCTTGATGTTGCTTGGTGGCAGGGCATCCCAGGTATGGGACGTGAGCTGACTCTTCTGCATCAGATTCATGATACTCACAACAGAAATTCAGACTCTATGTGTCTGAAGTTTCCCTGTGATTGATCAACTAAGATTCTCACACATGATTCACTGCTTGACTCACGACCAAGATGATTGATATCTCGCCTACTGAGCATGTTTGATGCTTGAGACTCGACTAGAGCATGGCATAGTCTGATACCTGCGAAGGCTTTCATCCACCGACCTTTACCCCATATTCATGTTGTATACTGTCGTGCGATTCATTGTCATTGTTAGAGTATGGAACAAGTGATGGATGGTATCTAGTTTGGATTTGGTCTATCAAGTATACATGTATATAGGCTGTCTAGGGATCACCAAGGTAGATAATCTAATTCATTCAATCCGTCTTTTACATCTCCACAGTATATCACGTATTCTCCCGATTCATATCATTATTATTCTATTCATAAACTGCGCCTATATTCTTTGAGCTGCCTTACTCATCGAACCCATACCGATTTTCCAACACGCAGCCACATTGACGCTTGATTCTGCGGGAATTACCATAGTGTAGATGATATCATCTAATAGATAACGTATTGTGAATGAATGAATGAATGAATGACAGGCACTAGCCTAGCGCTCCGAGAGCGTCAAACAGAGAAGGCTAGTCTCTCCCCGACGTCTGTAAACGAAGATAACTCAGTTTGATAGTTGGACCACTCTTGTAGTGGGTACATTCGCCAATACCACTCGAGGCCTTTGTGCTTGGGAATTTCACCCTTCCCTCGTCCATTAATATCCACCAAAGTGAAAACTTGAAAGACCTGTAGCTACCCTAACACGCCTTTGCCATCTTGAACACAGCAATGGTACGAGATATCGCCCCTTAGTCCTCCCTTTCTCGGGTAGGGTACGCGTTCAGGCTACCAAGACTTTAATTCGGGGACATGACGACTAAGAGTTGGATTGAGACACCTTCTGTCATGAATGCGCTTTTCACATTAGTAGTAAATTGTCATTCACGTAGTGTAGCACGCAGAGCCAGGGAAATGGAAACAGGTTAGTGATAAATTAGATACCACCGATCGCTACACTCACCCGTAGATCACTCCTAAAAGAGACTAGCTACGGCGCTATCTGGAAGTATGTGGGATTGGTTAATTATCATGAACATAACCTGTAACTTAACATAATAACACAATAAGATACCATTTGCATCCCGTAATATTTTATTGCCATAATCACCCAAGTATATTCTAAGCCCCCTGAGTAGTCTTAACCATTTAATTGAAGATACCAAGTGTATACAACCATATACATCACCACCCTCCAATACCTTCCACCATTGCCTGTTTTTAGAGTGTCGGTAGCACCATCCGAAATCTAAGCCTCTGCGCCCACAAGTAACCCAAAATCAAGAACATTCGAAAAGATGAGTCCCAACATGTCCATTTGGGACCTCTTCCCTCGATCCTCTCAGGTCCCGGCTGCCAGCACTACCTTAAGATTTGAAGCCCCATTAGATTTATGGTCTCTTACAGACCAAGACCCGAGCTTTGTAAATTATCGCTTAATTTCTTCCTCGCCGGTTTACAAAACATGGTATCTTTGTTGTGGGAGCAGGCCGGTTTTTGGTGAATAATTTCCCGATTGCAATTGGAGTGAAGCCATTATCAGTAGTTGAGGCGAGCCGGTGTGGTAAGATTGAGGTAGAGGATTCACTTGAGAATGATAGGTGCAACACACACGAGAAGTCGTCGATTTTAGATATGCTAGGTGTTGCTTGCGACTTCGATTCGGATGCGATTCTTCTTGGCTCTCCCAGATATGTAGAGCATCCCGAGCGATTACACCGGCTACATTGGAAGGTTAACAACTGGTCTTTCACAGCTGATTTGAGGGAGTAATGATGTTATTTTAGGTCTGTGTTTGGATGGGCGCGCAAGAAAGCACGTGCCACACATATCCTTTTGGAACAAAGGACGTTAAAACCGCATCTCTAAAGAATTTGGCTATAGACCCAAAACGTACTTGCTGTGCGGCGTAGTTTGAAACTACCCAGGTCTTTCTGATATAGCACTTGCCGTTCTGAAATTAGTAGATCATCCTCTTCTTATGGCTGTTGATTACTCGGCCCACTCCCCCGCCCCTTCCTGGAGCGTCAACAAGACAAAGAAAGGGCCTAAGCAGCTTGTCC